TGTATCTATGTTCTCTCTATATACATGCAAATTTCTTTTTCAAGGTTATTTCCTAACTAGCATGGCATGGGGAATATATGAAACATAAAAACTAGTAGAAAAACATACCTTGTTGTTGCTTGGATTCCTTTGAGACTTTGTGAGCCTAGCACCCTAAATGTTGTGCCTCAAATGCTTCACACAACACCACAAAACTTGGAATAACTTGAGAGAATACTTCTAGCACTGAAAATCGGTTATGCCCTCTCTAGTAACTTCTTGGTGGTTCTTTTGTTTCTCCATGCTTATTCCAATTTGTGTATGTTTGATCAATTCCATTCCTAAATAGATTATCATCTACCACATCCACCAAATGACATATGTGGTTTACTCACTTAACACATGGACAAGGAATTCTTATCCTTTTTTTTGGTATCTGCAGGATCGATATGTTTAGAAATCTTGTAATTGAGCACTGCATATTTGATAATTTCTGCAACACCTTTTACATAGGGCTCTGATGAATAGTATGCTCCCATCCAAGTCTTATCCATATTCAGCTTACAATAGAGTCAACAAGCAATATACGTTTCCTGTTTATTGACCCATTTTAACAAACAGTTGGTGTGCATAAACAAAATAGATCACATTACTAATAAATCCAATATCTTGAAAGAAAAATACTTGTAATTTCCTATATTAATTAAATATAGTATTTGTACCTATATTAATTTGATTTTGACGCATCAATTTCTAGTTGAAGAAAAAACGTAGTTGCAGTGCCTTTGTAGTTATCAGCGATTGAATCGATAGGAATTCATATTGTCTAATTCTGTATATTAACGCAATGAGTCTGGATGATCAGGGGCAAGTGGAGAATTGATAGAAAAAGTGAATGATCAGGGACATATCGAGACATTAAAAATAAAAATAAAATGTTGGTAATTGGTTTCGAACCCATGACACTCCAAAAAATACCAATAACTACATTGACACTTACCAAGTGGGGTATCTGGATGTTTGCAAATAATTGCTTTACAAAAAAAAACATTAACCAACACAGAAAGGAATCTAGTAAAACCTATCTAATACAAACACAGTTAGCAAGAAATTATATAATTTTTTTGTTTTATCATAATAACAATTAATGGTAAGTAATTACCATTTTGCCCATAAGACAATTACATTAAAAACATCATCAAATCTGGAAATATAATATAAAAATGATTGTTATACCCTTGCTAACACAATCTTAATTAACATGTAAAACATATAATATATAAATGACTGTTATAGCCCTGTGTTATCATAAACATAGGTTACAACTAAGGTTTAAAGTACATTGCCATCTTAATAAAAAAATATAAAAAACAGTGACAAATATGCAACACATGGACATAATTAACATGTAAAATATAGAATGATAAGTAATTACCATTTTGCCCATAAGATAATTACATTAAAAACATCATCAAATCTGGACATATAATACATAAATGAGTGTTATACCCCTGTGTTAGGATAAACACAGGTTACAACTGAGTTTCAAAGTACATTGCCATCTTAATACAAAATTATCAAAAACAGGGACAAATATGACTCAGTTACAAGTTATGCAAAACATGGATATAATTAACATATAAAATTATTATGATACCTAATTCCAATGTTGCCCCTAAGACATTTATATTGCAAACACCATCAAATTTGGGCATATAACATGTAATAGACTCTTATACCCCTGTGTTAGCAAACAACATTGCCTTTTTAACAACATAATATATCAAAGCAGGGACATAATGTAAAACATCAAATGTAGACTTACTATATAATCAAAACAATATGACCTATAGACATAATATATAACAATTCATTAAATAAAAGAGTTTCATATTAAGTACAAAAGTAGAGTATCATATTCACTCTATGTTAATCACAAAAAAGATTACAACATAGTTCACCTAGGCTATGTTTTTCCATGCTGCGACATTTTCTTTAGCCATGTCTATAACATCCTCCATTTTTTCTCTTGGAGTTGTCATGTTTAGCATATGTTGGATGTATGCTATTCCATCATCAACCCAATCCGTTGGATATTCTGTTACAAACATGTGAATAAGCTTCTCAACACGTTTAGCTGGAGAATTCATCAAAAAGTGTGGGAAATGTTTTGGAACAAACACAGGCTTGTGTTCAACATAGAGATGTTCAATCTCTTTGAATTCTTGGGCCCTAACTAACGCCTTGAATGGTTCCAAACATTCATCCTTTAGTATTGGAACCATTGACAACCCACTGTGTTCTCTGATGGGCATATGATACTAGTTCCCCAAACTGGTATACCCAAAGCTTTTAGAAAAATGCCCAAGCAACTCCATGTCTAACAAATCGATGTTCACATGAGAAATGAGTGAACCTTGGTCTGTTGATATGCCTTGCCTGGGTAGTCTGTAAAGAAGCCACCATGGACAACGCGAATGGTGAAACGTTTGTCGTTTGCCTTCTCGTATTCAACCACCGGTTTGTTTTTTGGTGGTTCTGCGCTTACAGTCCAGAGATTGAAGTTCGGACGGGCCCACGGATCAGCATTCATCTTCTTTTCTGAAAATCGACGTATTTTTTTTTCAAAGAGGAAGAAGGAGTAATCGAAGTTATTGTAACCTAATGAATATGTGAGAATGACAAAATTGACATAAGCGAACGGCTTATAAGGATCATCAGTCGGAGGTGAAGCGACGTCGAATGAGGCCATCACTTCTCCAATTAATTGCAGTCTACAGAGGTGGATTTAGAATGACGGTTAATCGGCTACGATAATGATTACACATTTTTTTATTCCACATTAATATATCTAGTATTTACATCAATATGTATTATATTCATGTAAAAAAACTATATACAATATTAATTAAATATAATATCGAAACTAGCATTGTTTTTGTTTATCAAACAAAATAATAAATTTATATAAATTGTTTTAATTAATATGTAAAATTAATTTTTTTTACCTCATTTGGTCATGTCCATAGTGTTGGTTGTGGGTTTGGACCTCATTAGGTCATGCATGGGTGTTGGTTGTGGGTTTGGACCTCATTGGGTCATGCATGGGTGTTGTTTGTGGGTTTGGACCTCATTGGGTCATGTATGGGTGTTGGTTGTGGGTTTAGACCTCTTGGGTCATGCATCGGTGTTGGTTATGGGTTTGGACCTCATTTGGTCATGTCCATAGTGTTGATTGTGGGTTTGGACCTCATTGGGTCATGCATGGGTGTTGGTTGTGGTTTGGACCTCATTTGGTCATTTCCATAGTGATGGTTGTGGGTTTGGACCTCATTGGGTCATGCATGGGTGTTGGTTGTGGTTTGGACCACATTGGATCTTGCATGGGTGTTGGTTGTGGGTTTGGACCTCATTGGGTCATGCATGGGTGTTGGTTGTGGGTTTGGACCTCATTGGGTCATGCATGGGTGTTGCTTGTGGGTTTGGGCCTCATTTTGTCATGTCCATAGTGTTGGCTGTGGTTTTGGACCTTATTGGGTCATGCATGGGTGTTGGTTGTGATTTTGAACTCATTTGGTCATGCATGGGTGTTGGTTGTGGGTTTGGACCTCATTTGGTCATTTCCATAGTGTTGGTTGTGGGTTTAGACCTCATTGGGTCATGCATGGGTGTTAGTTGTGGGTTTGGACCTCATTTGGTCATGCATGGGTGTTGGTTGTGGGTTTGGACCTCATTTGGTCATTTCCATAGTGTTGGTTGTGGGTTTGGACCTCATTAGGTCATTCATGGGTGTTGGTTGTGGGTTTGGACCTCATTTGGTCATGTCCATAGTGTTGGTTGTGGGTTTGGACCTCATTGGATCATTTCCATAGTGTTGGTTGTGGGTTTGGACCTCATTGGGTCATGCATGGGTGTTAGTTGTGGGTTTGGACCTCATTTGGTCATGCATGGGTGTTGGTTGTGGGTTTTGACCTCATTTGGTCATTTCCATAGTGTTGGTTGTGGGTTTGGACCTCATTAGGTCATTCATGGGTGTTGGTTGTGGGTTTGGACCTCATTTGGTCATGTCCATAGTGTTGGTTGTGGGTTTGGACCTCATTGGATCATACATGGGTGTTGGGTGTGGGTTTGGACCTCATTTGGTCATTTCCATAGTGTTGGTTGTGGGTTTGGACCTCATTTGGTCATATCCATAGTTTTGGTTGTGGGTTTGGACCAAATTACGCCTACTAGACCATATTATTATTTTTGTTATATAAAAATATGTTTCCCTTGTATATATAATTTTTAAATTTTATATATTTTTTATTTCAAATAGTCATAAATGTTTTTCCAAAAAATAAATTGTTAACTTATAAGGACCAAATATGTAATATTTATATTCTTACCAAATAAATCATACTAATTTTTGAAAATGCACGACATGTTTCCAAACCACGATTTTTTCTTTGAATCGTGTGGGATTACTATGAGAACAAAATTTGAAACACATTTGAATCCGTGAAACGAATTTAAAGAAAAACTAATGAGTGGCAAATATTTTTTTGTATGGTTTTTGGGCTCCAAATCAAATCGGGAATTCGTCATCTATCATAACGCTAAAACTATGAAGATCAATCCATCGGATGAAGGAAATCCCGGCAATTTTTGGTAACCTCCATCAATTTAGGACCAGTTATATCATTTTAATATTTAATAGACTATCATTTATTTGACCATTGTTTTGTTTAGCGTGTGGTTATATCCTAGAAGGATCATACTTCAGTTCATCATTCATCAAGCTTTCTAGTGTAAGTGTATTGTTTTTGTACGGATAGTTTCAATGTTGTTGATTGTATTGATCACGGGTCATGCATAACACAAAGAATTTTAACTCTTCATATTGGTGTGCTTCTTGCACACTAACTGTTCGATGAAATGTTTATGTGAGCAATTGTCTGTAATATTACTTGTTCATACTTTATCATCAAACTTATAAACAATCAAACTTATTTTCAATATGTTTTATCAATAGAAGAATCATGGAGGTTGACAAGGAACAACATAAGGATATCCCTGACTATAATACAGAATATGAGCTAGATGATGTAAACCAAGAATATGATTCGCCTACAGAGAACGGTGAAAATAAACACATTCACTACAATAGCCAATCAGATTCAGAAGAAGAAATCTACAAACTAGTTCCTTCAAAATCAGATAGGAAGAGAGGCATGACTCGATTGCCAAAAATAAAGACTAAATATGTTAATTCTGGTGGAAAAAAAAGCGTGTCAGGTTTGATGAATTTGGTAAGTTTACAGGGAAGAATAATGCAGTCTTTGTTAGCTATTTGGGTGATCTTGTCCGCGAGAAGGTGGGATTAAGTGCTCTTTGCTGGAAAAAAGTTAAACCGGAAATGAAGGACAAACTATGGAAAGAGATAACAGTAAATATTATCTTCAATTTTTTAATCTGTATAACATAATATATGTGAAAATCAAGTTTTAAATACTAACATTCTCATTGTTTTTTTAGCACTATTTTGATGTTCATGAAAGTGGAAAACAATTTGTGATGAATAGACTTGGTATTCTTCTATGGAATTTCAGAAGAAAGTTGTATGCAGATTACATCAAACCACATCTACGCGATACCGATATGCTTGAAAAAATCCCAGTTCGTTATCGTGCACTAATCACTGAACAAGATGCTTGGAACAAATTTGTGACTTATACGCAGTCTCAAGAGTATAATGTTAAAATCTTTTTTCAAAACTTATTCATTTATTTATCATAATCTGGGTTCTAAAAGTTTGTGACAAATATGTTACTTTTAATTCACATAATGTGTCACAAAGGACTATCAAAGCGAGAAAGATGTCAAAGTATGATCATCGGATGGGACGAGGGGGGTATACAACTCTTAGGAGGAAGTTGGTAAGCTACATTAACTTCATATCATTTTATTTAACATGCTTTTGTTTCATATTCTTTATAATTTATTTTTTTTATCAAGATTGAAGAGAATGTGATTTCGAAGGAGGAAATTCCCCCAAGGTCAGTTATGTGGTGTAAAGGGCGTGAAAGTAAAGGAGAATTTAAGGATGACGATGTTAAAATCATGGCTGATAAACTAGTAACTTCAATACACTTTTCTTTTTCGTTTACTTTAAATATTTTAATCATTGATATTAACACAATAATTATTAAATTTATTGTTTGGTAGATGGAACATGAGAAGCAAATAAAAGAAGGACAAGTAAACGTTGAACCAGGAACGGATGCCATGACCTTAGTTTTTGGAAAGGAAAAGGGCGGATTTTTAAAGGGTGTCAGCACGGGAGTCACTTACAACAGATATTTCAATGTTCCTCGTAGCAAAGGGTCATCTAAGGAAGAAATTAAAGCTCTTAAAGTTGCACTGCATAATGGAAAACTTAAGCTTGAGAAAAAAGATGTTGAACTCAAGGCTTTGTCTACAAAGGTTAATGAACAAGATCAAACACCAAAGCTACTTTTGGCTCATCTTAATGCAAAACGAGCTGACTTTCCAAATCTGTCTCATACAATTGTAAGTAATCTTATTGAAAATATATGTTGTCAATGTTACTTCTAAATTGCATTTCTTTTAAACATTTTCCCTGTTTCTTTATATTTTCTATGGTATTTCAAGTAAGAAGATTGTACAGAGTAATGAAACGTCTCCTGTTATTCTCAAAAACAATGAACCTTTAGAACCTGTAACACTAGTATGTTATTGTCTTATTAGATCAACGTTCATATATATATATATATATATATATATATATATATATATATATATATATATATATATATATATATATATAGATTTGTTTGATACTGATTTCTGATTTTTCATGTTGGACTTTATATTATGTAGGTTATTCCAAAACCCAACAAAAAACTTGTTCAAACGAAATCTGCAACTGCAGCACCCGATGCAAAATTGATTTCCATGAAATCTGCAACAGTAGTATATACTAACTTTACAGTTTTCAATACTTTTATTTAATTTGTTTTTATTAAAATATATGTTTAAATATGTCTTAAATCATGATATCAGGCAAATAGAAAAACCACCAAGAAAACTGTTGAGTCTCAGACTACCACTATCAATCAAAACATACCAAAAGTTTCACCAAATAATCCTATTCACCAGGTCAGTGTTTTTTTACATGATGAATATACATTTCTGTTATTTTTTTTTTTTTCAGATTATAACATTACTTGTCATTGTAGCCAATCAAGTGTAGTCTATCATATCCGTATAAAAGGAACATCGTTGCCCGCGGTACCATTTATATATATATATATATATATATATATATATATATATATATATATATATTTGATACTGATTTCTGATTTTTCATGTTGGACTTTATATTATGTAGGTTATTCCAAAACCCAACAAAAAACCTGTTTAAACGAAATCTGCAACTGCAGCACCCGATGCAAAATTGATTACCATGAAATCTGCAACAGTTACTAACTTTACAGTTTTCAATACTTTTATTTAATTTGTTTTTATTAAAATATATGTTTAAATATGTCTTAAATCTTGATATTAGGGAAATAGAAAAACCACCAAGAAAACTGTTAAGTCTAAGACTACCAGTAGCCAATCAAGTGTAGTCTATCAAATCCGTATAAAAGGAACATCGTTGCCCACGGTACCATTCACTTATCATTAGAAAGAAAATTCATTCATGGAGTTCCTCTACAAGATGATTGCTATAAAGTTTCCATTGATGAAGTGGTTGTAAAAACTGGATTTCTACCCCCATCAAACTGGAGAATTCAAATTAGTTGCAGATGCATATAAAAGTTTTGTTCCATGGCCAAAATACCTTGTGCAAACCGAGTCAGAGGTTTGTTTCAATATGTCTAATACTTTTTGCATTAAACTTTATTTTCTTCATAAAGTACTGTACTAAGTTGATGATGAATTAAATTTATTGGTTTCAATGTTGTTGTTATAGGTACCAGAAATTATATCACATCAAAAATCAACAAAAAGGAAACCAACTTACATATCATTTGATGCCCTTCTGAAGAAGACAAGGAGCAATAAAAACAAAAATAATGCCTAGCTAGTTATGTTTAGGTTTTGGTTTATGATGTCTTTTATTTTTTAACCGTTATATAAATTCTTTAAATTACGCAAATTTTCCTTTCTTTGATATTTTAATTAGGAATGTAATGTATATATATGGATTTCGATTTCAATTATTATTAATATAAAATTATGAATTTTGTTTGTGTTTCATATTGTTGTGTTTCGTTACTTTAATTTAAAGTATTTTCATGTGTCTAAAATGTATAAAAAGTAATAGTAAATAGTAAGTTATAGTGGTTGTAGTATGATTTTTGTCATGTTATATACGTTTTTAATGTCTCTCAAAATATACAACGGTTACTCTACATCAATTTGTAACGTGTGGCTAAATGGTTAACAATAGTCATAATATACAAGAATTATGAGACTACAATTGATTTAAAGTGATGTTTATTTAAAAAAAATTGTCACTAAGTTAAACAATAACAACATGGAAAACAATATATGTGGCAAATAAATACCATAATTGATTGTTGTTGAGACTAAATACTAGGAAATTGTCACATATATCATTAACTATATGTGTCCATTTACAGAACACGGACATATTTACCGTAAATTATATGTGTCTAAAATATACCCAATAGTCTTAATACGATACCGAATTGTCCTTAATTTTAACAAAATGTGTGACTTTATAATACTTATGATTTTAATTCACTTCTTCGTTTGTCTTTATACATTAGGTTATAGTCACAAATGTTGATTGTTTTTTGTGACTAATAATTAGCAATTCGTCACATATGAAAGTGAAGTAGTTGTGGCCATTTAGCAAATATGGTCACACTTACCATAATTAAAAGTTTACAAAAGATACACAATATTCTTAATAAAATTTAAATTATGTGACCATATGTAAGAAAAAAACTACATTAAAACATCATGAATGTCGCATTTTGGTGATATACAGTCCCAATGTTAAATAAATATGTGTGACTAATAACTGTTTAACGCTACAATATTAGATATTTAAGGAACAAAATTCGGTACACATTTGCCACACTTTTATACTACGGCTACATGTTTTCATAGCATACAGACACTACAATTTAAAGTGACCAAAAGACCCATACGATGGCGTCACCTTCTGTCACACTTTCAGTGAAAAAAAATGTCACTATACGCATATAGCCACACTTTTTTGGTGTGACTGTAAGTCATTTTTCTTGTAGTGATACGAAGTTGAAAACTGAATCCGTAAATTGTGAGAGTTCCTAAAATGTGTCTAGTTTATTCATAATTTTTATAATGATTTATGGAAGTCTTTAACTTGTATTAAAATGTTCATATTCACAGACTGGTCCGGATTTGTTCTTGAAATGATAGACTGTTTTGTAAAAATCACCATAAATCGTAGAACACTCGTATGGAGATGTGCAAGTAGTCATTTTAAAGGTATAAACCTAAAATATTTTCATCTACTACAGTTTTGAAAAAAAAAACGTTTAAGTCGACCAAAATAGTCTTTGAATGGAGTTAAGTTTTTTTGATGAAGGCTGTTAAATGAGTTTTGTTGCGTTCTTGGTGTTTGACTTGTATTCCCCTCTCCCCCCCCCCTTAAAACTTGAGAAAAACATGAAAAGATAGGGGTATGAACTCACCTTATGTGATTTCAGTAGATGAATATTGGAGAAACGAAGTGTTCAACTCAAGAACACTTGAAGATGCCTTGAAGATTTTCGAGAATCTAACATCAAAGTGATGGAGTTTGTGTAAACAATCGACGATTGGAGTAGAATGAAGTGTAATAATCATAAGTAGGATGAATTATACTTACCAAGAGTGTAATAAAGCCTGATGGTCAGCCTTGGAGTCTCGAAATAGAGAGAAAAAATTGAGAGAAAAACTGTTTGATCTTTTGGTGGAAATGAGATAATGAATGAAGTGTGAGGAGAGAGAATGGATGTACCATCTCTAAGAACGTGGGAAATCACTGGAAATCATGATAAAGTACTTTGACATGACATAGGTATGGTAGAAAGAGTGTGGCTGGTCATGGAGTGGGTGTGGGTGTTGCTTGTGTCATAAACTAAAGAAAAGTCAACACTCCACCTCTTGTACTTCACCCAATCTTCTTGGATAAGGTTTATTCTCAAAAATATGATTAATTAATAAATATGGGGCCTTATATGTTAAAATAAAGTTTTGGGTGAAAATCTCGCGTTAAAATAATTAAAAACGGGCCTAAAACGCAAAACTAGTCGAAAACCGGGTGAAAAGGAGCTTCATGCGAGACCTCTCGGTCCTAGGCCGAGGTTCGGTCCCTTCTGTTGTTGGGCCAAAAGCGAAATGGAGCGAGAGTAGAAGGAAGATAAACGGAGTGAAGGTAGAAGGAAGCGAAATGGAGCGAAGGGTTTGGTCCCTTGGATGCGAGGTTCGGTTCGGCTCGGAAGTTTCGGCTCTTAGCGGGTTCGGTCTGAAGGGACCTTTCGATTGTACGAGCTTCGGGTCCGAACTGGACCTTTGGGTTTGGTTCATACAGAAGGTTCTCCACCTAGTTTCGGTTCCTATAGGGGCTTCAGTCCTAATCAGGGTTTCGGTCCTTAAAGGCTGTTTTTCAAGTTTTGTTCCCGTTTTGAGTGATTTTTTGGCCAAGTTAAGGGTCGGGATGACCCGGATGACTACAAAAAGTTACGCAAACTATTGAGAGAGATTTCGGAGAGATTTCAAATAGAAAGAGATAGAGTGAAAACAATTGAGAGAGGTTTCGTTTGTGACCTTTTTGAGTGTCCAGCTTCGCAATGGAAGGTCTGTAAACCCCGTTATACCATGATTTAGTTTCTTACACACTCCCGATGAGTGTGCATTAGTGTTTTATCACTTTGGTTCATTGTTTACCGTATTTTAGGCTTAGGAAATTCAATCACACGGATTTTGCAATTGGTGTTTTCTCATCATAATGTGAGTTGTACAGAAATTACCTAAAGTAAGCCCTAGTAACAATGGTTAATTGAGTCGACCGGTTTGAATTTAACTTGACTAGAAATTGACAGTTGTCACAATAGAGGTACCGAGGAGGATCATAATATAGAGTATCGACAATACTTATCAAAATATTTTCACTGTTAGTACTCGATCATCGCGGTACGATTTGTGACAATGGTTTATCAAGGAGAACACAGAAAGCACTAGAAAGTCCACACAAAGTACTTTATCGAGCACACTCAGGATACACCATCATATAACAAACGATTCTTTCAAATTGGACTAACTTTTGTTTCGGTAAGGAGTCCAGTGTAATCATTCGTCATGGATTGGGATGGTCCTCACCATACTAAGTTCATATATTTTGAAATCCCATCGCCTTAACCGAAAAATTCAAGAAACCCTCGTCATTCGTAATGACAACGCGAACTAGACCTCGGTATTGTCTCTTGTTTTCTAGATCCTAAAGTACTCATGCGAGGAGTACTCTGCCCTTCGAAACCTTGCCACCGTATACTCATCGGACCTTTCCGAAATACCACCCGTCCAACAGATCAAGTTCGAGCACAGAGGCTACGGACGAATACAGCCCACCTATCACTATTAAGTGTATACAAGAGGGTGGTATATAATTATGATTACGCATATCTAGTATGTGTGTTTTTGCCTTATCTCCTGCTCCTTGTTTGGTTGTTGATTTGGGGCAGAGTCACACATCTGACCATCTTACTAATCTTTATTATATACAACTTGTATACACGAGGTCATGATAGATGGACCGGGTATGAATCTTATTATGAGCATTAGGCCAAAGTTGCCCAGGTCTACGAGTGGATATTCTGCCATTCAGAGGAGTGGAACCCCAAGAGTACAGCTAGGAAAGCTAATTTCGGGACGATATTCCATCTAACGGGGGTATGATGTGACAACCCGAAAAATTTTAGTCGGTAAAGCACTATTAAGCATAAATTGCAAAATTTCAATAGAATACTTTTTAGCCTTAGGTATATAAATGAAAGTCGTAGATATCAGTAAACTGTAAACGTACATAAAAAGAACGTCCAAATATGACTTCAAAAAGACAGATGAAAACGAACGTTGAATGAAGAAGTTACGGATTTTTAATAGACTTTTCCAGTCCCGGCCTGTTAAAAATGGATTATGAAAAATAAATTCAAATTTAGCTGACGGAGTCTAAATGAAAGTTGTAGAGCATAATCTCACCTACGTGTGGATATAAAGAACGTCAAAATCAAAACTCTTATGCGAGAGATATGAATTATTGAAGTTCGGGACACAAATTCCCACACTGTCAGAGGACTCACGATGTGAACCTGAAGCTCACGACATGAGCCAGTGATGGATAGGTTCCAGCGTCGAGATGTCAGAAGTCGAGTCAGCGGATGGATAGGATCGAACTCACAACGTGAGCCAGTCTATGCTCACGG